AATCATAACCAGAAACTTGTAGTAACAAAGCCCGCAGGGCTCTAAAAATGTAAAGTAATGTAGGACAGCATTGGAATTCTAAAATTGCCAACTGATTTTTAGGAGATTTTAAACACACATGCACACACACACATATATATATAAGACCAAAATTCCATATAGTTTAGAAAAATTATCTATGCCACATAGCAAGCACTTGAAACTGTGAAAATGTGGTGTCCCACCCCTAAGGAGATGGGAAAACCCAAAATTCATAGACACTCATATGTTGAAAGGAATGGTAAAAGTCAGAGATTTGCAAAAGCTTATAGAGTTTTATTAATAATCTACACACTTGGTATGGACATTGTTATTTGGGTCCCTGACCTCCCAACATAAGCACACAGCAATGGGTTTTGGATAAGGGGTAGGGTGAAAAGGAAGAGAGATAGATATGAAATGGAGTGTGAGAAAGAAAGGAAGAAAGAAAATTAGAGAGATCACCTGTTCTAGCCCCAGCATTGATCCAGCTGGAGTATCCAGGGTCCTGGAGTGCACACATGCCCAGGCTTTGTGGGGATACCTTTTTATAGACATGTCTACCCTGTTCTGGAGGTAAGCTTCTCACTTGCTATGCAAATTAGTTATCGTGTGCAGTTCTTTCTTCTAGATCTTTCTGGAAATAGGTTGGAGGCTTCAAGGGTCTTTGATGGTCTAAATCCTCCACTACAGTGCATGTCCATTTCTCAGCCTCATTCCTGCACTTGCCTGTGTTGTGCTTATTCTGTTGTGCCAGAACAAGGACATCTGTCCCAGAAAAGTGCTGCTCTACCTCCATATGGACCTCTTCTCCACCCATGTCCTGCTCTTTGTCACAGTGTTATTACCAACAATCCTTGGTTGACTCTATGGCTATCCAGCTATCAGTTTTTGAAACATACACATTTTCATCCCTTATTTTTTAGGCTTCTACAGTGAACTCACTCTCAGATTTGGCTACTGATTCTTCTCTGATGATGTGTAGCAATGTTACAGTCACATGAGTGAAAAGTGCTTTGCGAGCCTGGACTCTGCAAGAATTCATGAATAAGTGAACCCCATGTTGCTACATTCATATCAGGCTGTACCCAATGAAAAATGTTACTATGTCCTGAGGCACCCTTATTACAAATAGTAGCATCTTGTGCACCTAAATATTCCTCCTGATAAAATTAAAAGCCCAAATCCTTGTATAGAGCAAAAGATTTCCCAAGAAGCTCATGTGCTGTGCTCTGATGTTCTGAAACCTATTTTTGAAAGAGTTTGCTGCAGAATACTAAAGTCTTTACGGCTTCTTCCACTTCTCTTTCTTGAAAGGTGAAACAACTGAAAAGTTGGTCATAGTGTAGCTACATCTATGCAGAGACTAGATTATCTTCTGTTGCTCTGACTTCCTATATGTTGTATTTAATACACTGAATACAACTTGTAGAATCAAATAAACATAAATTATCACAGGAACACACACACACCCCAAAAGCTGTTTAATAACATTTGATTTCATTGTATCTCTTACTAAGTGTTTCATGGAACATATTTAGCCTTAAAATGTAATACTAAGCATGCCTACATATTTCACAGAAATATAGAAAACACACCACTAAAACGAAAGAAGGCCAATTTGATAAATGTGGTATTATTAGCATAAGCTAATAGTTAGCTCAGCACTTATAACAGTAATGAAAATGGCCTGTGCAATTTAGCTGTGCAACATCAACTACAACTGAAGAAATTCATTTTATTTTCTAAAGAAGAAAAGGAATTCACTGCTGTCTCTACCTATGAGCCCATTCGGAGATCAATCATATGAGAAATGAGCAATTTTCCATCTCTGCACTCTCACCCTCTGCCTCAAGACACCAACTTTTAAATTTGATTGACATGGCAGGGATACAGACATACCTCTACTTGGACTGCAGCAGCATTAGAGAGAAAAAAGGAGATAGGGGGAAAGAGACTCTGTCTCAGAAGCACTCAGATACAATGGAAGTCCATTTGCCAGGTGATATAGGACCAAATTTTTGAAGTCGCAGATGTGTGTAAAAGACATATACAGACATTGCCCCAGCAAGATTTTCCAAAGGCACCAACATGAAATAGAAAACAAGACAGTTCAGAATTCAAAGTCAGTTATTCTGGCTATTATTTGGTAGTGCATTGCAGCAACCGCACTCAGAGATTATTGTGATCTGCTAATTGCAATAAATTCACTAACAACTGTCTCTTCCCCATATCTGTCAGCTTATTGCTAACAATCCACTACCATTCTTGTTTTCCTGTCCAAAGTCCTCAACCAATCCTGCCAAATCTGCTCTCCTTACTTTCACACATTGTGTAAGCACATGACAGCACATGACACATGTCAAATTTCTGCATAAAGGAACCCAAAACAGGCCCCTCTATTTGTAAAATTCCATCACTAAATCCAACATCACATTCACTTTTGCGCCTCATTGAAATGGCTGCAGTGTCATGCAGAGCTGTAAAATAAATTAGCATTTGGCAGCAGAAAACATGAGCCACCTTCATGTGCTCAACTCTGGCACACTTAAAAAAGGCAGTTTTTTTAAAAAATATTACTAAAATGCTCAGTTGTCTGAGCAAGTTTCATACTTGCAACTGTCTACATTACCCAGTTTTGCAGTAATAATTGAGATAAATAATTCTAGTGTCAGAAGCTTTATCTTTCCAATTTTCATATCAGAAAAAGTCTGAAAGGAAATTAATTACCTTGCTCTCGTCTGGACTGGTTTGATTTTTTTTTTTTCCCCTACTAACATGTTTATGGTCTTTATAAGGATACTGCTTTTCTGGAGAGCTATACTGCTACAACACATAAAACAGCTAACACTGAAGATGTTTTGAGGAAACCTCTTCCTCCAGATTAAATGTGGACTAACCTAAAATGCTTTCACTTTTTATCATTGTCCTTATTTAAGCAATAAATGTGCTGAAGTTTACACACGCCCCCCCCCCCCCCAATCCAATTTAAAATGAGCCAGCTTAAAACAGAGAGAGACAATTAGCCACAAGAACCGCTACAAGAAGAATATATCAGTAATATCCTTAAACCACCTCAGCTACTTTAAAATTGGATTTGTCCACACCTCTACTTTAGTAGAGATGTGTATCATGCTGCCAGACCACATTTCAGAGGAGGTGTCTTGGTCATTTTGGTTCAAGTGAATTGTTCGAACTATATCAGTATAGTTAATGTAGTACAAAGTAGCAGAGATAAAAATAAGAAAATATTTCAGGCCAAAACAAAGCAGTTTAGTAGTTTAAACAGAGACTGTGAAAAACAGAACTGCATTTGAAAATCTAGAATTAAAAGCAAAACAACAAACCCATTTTGTTTTTAAAAATTAAAATGTCCAGTTTATTCAAATAAGAAAACAAAGCTCTGATTTCTATCTCATGTTCCTCTTTTTCATCTAGTGACTGAGGACAGAATACCTATTCCATTAATATCTACTTACAGTCCTCAAAAAAACCCTGGAATTTTGCCCACCAGTATTAAATTTCTCAAATTCAACAGCAATAACAGCACAGAGTATGTTTCTCTATCTTGTTGCTGTTATTAATTAAGTCCCATTTGCTGTTCCTGAATCGCTGTTATTTAGTTGCACTGGATGGGTGTGTAGAAAGTAATGGAAGATGGATCAACAGCTGTAGTTATTATGAAAATTATGGCACTGCATGAGAGGAATTGCAGCTGCTCAATTCATGCAAATAAAAGCTACTTGATAATGCCTATAATTACACAGCATGTCAAAACAGCATATCTGGAGTGTAAGTAGAGACTACATATTTTAGAAAGCCAAAAGATTTCCATTTCATTATATTCCCACTCCTTAAATGCTTATTTAGATATAACAAGAAACACTTCCTGTTGACAGGCTCACAGATACAGAAAGGTCTGCTGAGTCTCCCAGGTGCATTCTCCTGCCAGCACTGCAGCTGTCAAACATGAAGCCCCTGTGCTATTTGTAACACAGCCTGGACTCACATCACAGCTGGGGCTTCAGCTCACTGTGCACTGAGCAGATATGAAGAAAGATCCAGCCACATCTACTTTCAAAGCAAAGGAAGATTGCTTCCAAGTGGCTCATACAAAGCAGATATTATCTCCTCTATTCAAAGTCTGTTCCTGATACCTGGAACAGCACTGTAATACTCTAGTTTACTTTACTTTTGAGTCTAGCTTCTTTCAGCTTCTTCAGGGCATTTCCTTTCCCAGTTCAGGCACTACGGCCCTTTTCAAGAGCACTTTTCCTTTTCTTAGATGAAAACTTCACTAAAAGCTCCTCATTTTCAGAGATGCTGTTCACTGTGCTTATCCTGCTACATCTGTAGGCTGTTTACACATTAGCAATGGTTTATATAAAGTGACCTTTTATTACTTTAGTGTCTTCCCATTCCTATTCTGCCTGTTTAATTAAAGCCTTCTTTTTTTTGCCAGTTGTTTTGTGCTAGCAAATCCCTGCACCCGCATGGAAAAAAAAAAACCAGGGATGAAACCTCATTTCTTTTCCTCTGCACCTCAAATTCTTGTTTCAATAGCTTAGCAGCACAAAATTATGTTACAAATAATAAACCCAAAACAATAAATACATGAGTAGTGAAGAGATTTATTTATTTTTATTTATGACATTCACAAAAAGAGACACAGGGGGATACACAATTTTGCAACCTTCCTACCTCTCACTCAAGGGTGAGTTGGACCTACTGGGTGTGTAACACAGTCAGTTGCTAAAGTTCCTTACTACTATTGTTTTACACTGTGATCCAAACCACATAACTTTGCAGAAACCACAGCTTTTCTTTTCCTGTGAAGTCTGATGACAAAATCTCATTGCAAATGCCTTGGAACCCAGGATCATTACTCCTGGTAGAAGTGGTACCTCCCACTTCTCATATTTCAGTTGGACAATCAGTAAATCACTGACCCAACACAATACTATGCAACTTGTTAGCCTTACCTGAAATCACATGCTGTGGTAAGTTCTGCTCCTCCTCCAAAAGCTTTTCCTTGAACTAGTGCAACACTGATCAAAGGCAACCTGCACAAGAGACTTTAGTAAGCAAAATTCATGCTTTTAGCCTTTCAGAAATTACAAAACAATTCAACCAAACCATTTCTAAAGTAAAAGTTGAGAAAAATATACTGTTCCAATTTAATAAAATAACTACATCTTTGTGGGCAATCAGCACAACACCAATTCCACTTATGTCAAAATTACTATTGCATAATTGAGACAGAATCCCAAAATGAAACAGCAACACAGATATTTTAAATTGAATCAAAATAAAGATCATGTACTGAAAAACACATGTTACAAAAAATACCTGCTATAGAATATACCTTAAAAAACTGCCTGCAAGGAGTGACAAGATAGCAACACAAGATTGTACTCTAAGCCAGTGCACCACAGAAAGCAGAAGAAAGAGACACAAAGAACTGAAGGGCTGGGTTATCTAAAATTAATGAGATTTACCATGACAGCTTCAGCAGCTTCTTCAAACAGAGTGCTACTATCTCAGTTATCAACAAAACTTTTTTTGCAGACAAAATCTTCTGAGGAAAGCAGCAATCTGTTACCTTTGTTGGTGTTGTATTTAATCATGTTCAAGGTATTTAATCATGTTCAAGGTAATTCAAAGGACAGAGGGAAGGAAGAGTATGTTTCCCCACTGCTGATGTGAAATGAATACTAATGAACAGTGACTTAGGATAAGGCAAGTTCCTTAAGAAATGAAGGCAGCTGGTTAGTCACAGAATTTGCACACTAATACAGCTGTTTCATCATTTACTATGAAAAGACATTTAGCTTTTTGAGCAGTTTACAAACCATATTCGGAAGTCGGCATCCTAATCATAACCACGTCTGGTTTTAGCTCTCCTTTAACAGAAGCACCAACACTTTCTTACAGCCCAAGTTCACTTACAAGCTGCAGCACAGTTCATACAGTACATGACACAAGGGAACCCACTGGAAGAGGGCAATCTCATCTTTCCTGTGCTTTATGAGAAAGCAGAAGATGTGGGTCCAAGATGGCTACATCCACACTCTAATCCATTTGAGGCACCTCTCTTAGGATCACAGTCAGCCTCAGCCCTGAAGGAGACTAATTCCATCTACAACAGATGTCCCCAGACAGCAGCTCAGTGCTCAACCTGAACTTAAAGATACACTAAGTCTACACACCTGAGGTGAGGACTTAATCTTCACACATCTTCCTCCTCTTAGCTTTGCCCCATCAATTTCAATTATATGGAGACAAGCTTATGCAAATGTCTTCCAATCCTGAGGATTCCTTACAGTACTACTAATGTAAGTTTCCAATCTCCTGGGTACTTTTACAGAAATAATGTTAATTCATAACATTTTCTCATATACATTACCTAAAACCAAAGAATATTCATCTTCAAAGAGCTCTAAGCAGAAAAACAAGACTCTACTACAAATGGATTTAATAGAAACGTGACTTCTTAAGGGAAGCTAAGTCTAAAGGAAAGGGTTTTTTTCAGAATTACCAGATGGTAGAACTGACACACTCCTCTTGTGAAGTGGGAAGATTAAATAATATGCCAAATATATATTACCTATGTAGGCTGCATGATCTGTGGCTGCTTATTATTTAAGAACTACCAATTCCCAATGAATTAGAGAGGCTCAGTTTCAGAAAATCTGAAGGCCTAGATTTCCTTAATTCTGAGTATCTCCTACATCTACACATATAAGCCTATGGTTGTTGTTGTTTTTTTTTTTTTTTTCCTGTTCCAATCTCTGGAAAATGTAATGGTTGCAAAATGTTATGGTCTAATTGTCTAATTTAAATCCATAAATACCTACCTGATTAACATGTGTGAATACAAGGTCTAGGATTCAAAATTACATACATAAAACTACATGTTTATCTTTAAACATCTCATTAAAGAGTTAGCCAAAATACATTCTGATACTTATAATTACTTTATAAATGGGTAAATAAAATATATTACCTCATAAGTCTGGTTAAGGTGTTTTGCATAAACATACACATATTCATCCCATCCTACAATGAATAGGAAATTAAAAAATGTTATGTGATCTCAATGTGAAGCAATTAAACACATAGATGAAATAAACAGGAGTAAGCATTCTTTATATTTACTTCAGCAGGGTTTTGTCTCTGGTTCATGTTGCCCAAATTCTAGCCCAACCCCACTATGTACAAATAGAAAACCTAGTATAAATCAGGTTAAAAAAAAAAATCAGAACTCAACTAACTTATATAAATTTCAGTCAAAAAGTAATTGCAATACTGAATTTCTATGCTGTGAAGTTTTAGTGTTTCCTCTTAATTTCTTCTTCTCACTTCAAGTTGAAGACACATAAATCTGAGTTTTTAAATTCTGTACAAAGCCATAGTGTGCTACATAGTTTTTACTTTCCCAAATCCATCAAGTTTTAGACAAGATACAATTTACCAATTTAATCTTTTATTGTTTGGGCCAAAAGTGTCTCAGCTAAAAAAACAAAAACAAAAAAAAAAAACCCCACCAAACCACAAAACATCAAAACAAAAAAAACAAACCAGAAAGATTCTTCTTATGTCTCTCATCCTTTGTGTTTTACATCTCCTTGCAATCAACAGTGAAAAAATTACAATTGTTTACTTCTAACCCAGTACAAGAACTATAGGGTTCCAAATAAAATATGTTCAAAACAAATATTTCTTCCTACATTTACTTAAAATGTGGAACACTTGGCAGTAGGGCATTACACCCTCTACACAAATTCAAGAAAAACTACATAAACTCACAATACATACATAACTCACAACAGCAACAAAAGGTTATTACATAGAAGACAACACCTCTAGCTCTAGAAGTCTTAGTCACAAGTTGCTGGGAACTAAGAAATATTTTGAGACAAAATCATTATTATCTGCCTTCCCTGTTGTTATCCTCTTTCTCAGACACGTAGAATTAATCAGGAACTTGACAAATAACTGGGCTAAATGATCCAGAGCCACCATATTCATATACATACCGAATTGAACATGCATTATTTATCCCAGATAAAAAATTATGCTTGGACACCGCAGAAATAAAAAATGAGTAGGTAAAAATTTCAGCACATCTTTCAAATAATAAAGAAAAAAAATGTCCAAACAAACCAAACCAAACATCTCTTTACCAGAATTTTCTTATTTCTGAAACAGTTTTACAGAAGCTGGCAATTTAGAGAATCTGCCTGAATTAAAAGCCTCTGACTCATACCTTGGGGAAAGAAAATATATGCAGTAAGTCTTCAGTGCATCTTTGGAATAGAACCTTGAAATAACAGTAAGCCAGTTTCAGGTGATTTATTGTCCATTTAGTCGTGTATTCCCAAGAGCTACTCTGCCCAAAGCCAACCACCATTATGATGTTTAGGCTCAGATCTCTGGCAGATGTGAGTGCCATGACAATTCCTACACAAGAACCAGTGTATTTAGTTTTACTACACTAATGGTCTGCTTGAAAAATTTAGCACCTGTTGAGTTAGAAAAAGGCTTTAATTATCACTGTAGCCATCTCCTACACCCCCTAAGAACAGTAGAAATATTTTGATTCCAAATTAAAGAACATTCAGAGCTTTTGTGATAGCTGCCTTAGTAGCTCAGTTCAAAGCCTACACAAACATGCAAGGTACCAGTTCTCAGACACAGACTTGCACAATTCCCATATTACAACTGTCAGGATGAAGCTGCACAAAAGCTCGTTAGAGAACATGATTTTTCACTTCATTACAGCAGAATCTTTGCATTCAAACTGGACTTCTCAACTCATGGCAAAATCCAAAATAGTAATTAAAGATTAATTGCAGAACAGACAAACTTGAAAAATATATTAATGTCTGAGCAGACAAAAATAAAGTCTTCATTCTCTCAAGTGGTAGAGAGAGTACTGTGTATCCCATGGAAAAAAATGCTTGCACAGAAAAAAAAAAAAGGGTAATTGCTTGAGTCCTGGCAAATAAACCCTTCAAACCTTCCTGACAAGAAAAATAAGGCTACTATTCAGATAAAATACTCTAAGAGGTGTTCACTTCAGTCTAGTAGAATAGTTATATTTGCAGCTCTAATACTGTCCTTGAAATAAGAAGATATCTAACTAGCAGAAAGGGAGGTAAAATGCAGTAAAATGCACTACATATGGAAGAAAAGGATTAATAGCTTGGTGTGGGCCTCAGACAGGCAGGGAAGTGGAAAGTCACCTTCATAAAGTAGAAAACTGTATTGCTGCCTCTTATTGCTGCAAGAGCTTCAAATCCATTTGCACTACAGATAGAACATAATTTCCATATTATCTCCAACTGCTCTACAGTCCTCCTCCACATCTTATGTTTGGGAACCTCTGTCCTAGGGCTTTTAGACAGGGACCAAGGAAAGCAAAATTCTCCTTTGTGCTTCTTCCTCTGAGCTATTGCTTTAAGAGCTATTCTTTCTTTTCAGCTAGACAACTTTTCAAGTCTCACTCCAGAATGATGTTCTTGCTCTGGGAACAGTTTACAAAGCCTTATAAAGACAGAAGGGAAAATATTTTTTATTTAAATTCCACTATTCATTTACCTTCTGTGATTTGGTTATGTAATGTTAGCACTCAAAAAAGAAAAACAGGCAGGGGACCTAGGTTTGCTTCAGTTAGGAACAATTGAACATGGGAGAAGGTGGACAAAGAGGAAAAGAATGAAGTGGAAGATGAGGACAAAGAGCCACTAGGGGGCACGAAAATCTTTCAACATTCTTGGCCATTATTCTCCCGATTCTGCACCATAGGGAAAAGCAAACTGTACCGAAAATTATGAAAAATACAGTTCTCCCTCAACCAACCGTTTGGATAAAATAGAAGTGTTTTCGGCAATTACTAAAAGCTATGGGCTAAAGCAGCCTTGAAAAAGATATATAAATGACAGCTCAGTTGTTTGAGCATGGTGCTTATAAAGACAGGTTGTGGGTCCAATCTGTTCATTTAAAAGTTGGAATCGATCATCCCTGCAGGTCCCTTCCAACTTAGAATATTCTGTGATACTGTGAAAGACATACCAATTCAGGCATGAAGCTATTCACATTTTGTTTTTTGTTTTTGGGGTTTTTTTTTGCCTTGAAGAGGCCTGTGGACAGAAAACTTAACCTGAAACTAGATGAAACACTCTCGTCTGCATCAAGTTAGAGAGTTCTGTAAGACTGAAGAACAGCAAATGCTATTCCATATTCTAGTATAGCTTTATTTAATAAAGACTGTTAAATCCCACCAAACAGATGCTTTAGAAGCTATTATAAAGAAACTCTCAGTAAAAGATAAATACCTTGAACTCTCCAAAGGAAATAGAAAAGCAGCTATGTTTAACTATTCTTGGAGCATTTCTAGTGACTCTTTGTCTTTCATTTCAATACTAGCAAGAGATCTAGATTATGTGCAGAGAATTCTCAACAAAGTTATAACATGCATACTTTTTATTCTGTCCAGTATATCTGTTATCAAACCTAGTCCTTGCAAGAGCCCTCTCCGCCACTGCAGTGGCTCCAAGTAATTTGTATAAGCATACAGAGAGAATACGAAATGGATGGAAGCAGAATCACTGAGATTTACTGAATGCAGGACTCTGAAGGAAAGCCTAGACTGCAAATAAGAAAATAACTGACCTTGCTTGGCTTCAGCTCCTTTCTTGTTGGTATAATGCTCAAAGAAATTAAAAATTGCAGATCAAAATAAAAAAAATCCTCAGTTTAGGAAAAAATCACATCTAAATCTATATTTTTTAAATTACCAGTTCTTAGAAAATATCCAGATGAAAACATCCTCCAAATCCATTTATATCTATAGAACATGGTATTCTATATTAAGAAAAGCATCTCCCTTGCAATGTTCCCGAAAGGAAACAAAATATCCAATACCCTTTGAAAACAGAACTGTCCTTTTTATTTTATGAGGCCAGAAATAAAATCTAAGACTTTGTGGGGTTTATCATATTTAGTTTCATTAACAGAAAAAAAAAAAATCATCACTAAAGACAAATATCAGAATAACCAGTTTTTCTCTTGATATTCATACTGGAAGGGCCAATTAAATGTTTCATTTATGTGGTTAAATCCTGAAATTTGCAGTGGCCACAAATTAGCACCAAGATTGGCACGTGCCACAACTGCAAACCAGGTCTCAGAGCAGCACAGGAAGACCCTCTATCCCGGCAGCTGGCAAAACCCTATTTCACACATTGCCAAGTCCACATATTAATCCACGGAAAGAACTGTAGCACATGTGAAAGTTGTCCAAATGGGTAGCATGAGCAAAAAATTGCTATCAAACCCCAACCTCTTCAACTTCACAGATACACACAAGACTCACATGACTCAAGTACAGCACAAGAATTGCATCTGTTCTTCAATTTCATGCAGGTCCAAGCAGTTTTATAAAACAGAAACCTTTCTGTAATAGCAACCATTCTACTTAGATTTCTTTTTTTACTTTAGAATATGATAAATTATTACTTTTATCTGTTTCTAAAGGTCAAACTACAGAAGCACAGTTTATCTGATGTGCAAATTCACCATATACTGCTGAGAAACTGAAATGACATTTTTAAAAGAAAAGGCTAAAATGAACATATAGTGTAGGAATTTTAGAGTTATGAATCAACTTACAATAACATTTAAACCACAGCTTGAAGGGGCTGACAGCTTTTTTTTTTTTTTTTGACCATTAAAGCTCCATTCTGTGACTTGTATATAAAATCGCAGTAGAAGTGTAGTGCAACACCTCTGTCTAAAAAGAATCTCAAAAAAATAATTTTTTGCCAAAACCTTAATGTGTATTAATACTTGCCTGGGAATTTGATATTTCTTTGACAACATTCAAATCAGATCCTGAGCAAAAAGTGTTTCCAGCACCATGGATGATAAGACCTTTGCCATCCTTCCAGTTTTCCAGTTCAGTTACCTTCTCTTGGAGTTCTACCATCATAGTACCTGCCACAAGAGGGGAGAAACAAAATTCTTAACAGAAAATTATTATCACCATCATGTTTTTCATTACATTTTCCATCAGCAAAACCAAGTTGCAGTTAATAAATGATGGGCTTAAAATCACAAGGGAAAGTATCATCTTAAATCCTGCACACAATCACTGACATACATTTATTCTCCAAAGATGCACTTCCCAAAATTTTGAAGGATATTTGTTTTATACTCAAGAAAGACCCAAAACAAAACAAACACACAAACAAAAAACCTCTGCCTGATTTATTTCTGCTTGTAATTGCATACATTCAGGACAGATTTGTTTATATGTATCCATCCAGATCTGTCCAACTAGTCATTTTGAAGTTACTGACATTCCTACCTGCCCAAACAATTAGCAGAGAATAGAAAAGAATTGCGTCCAGGGTGGGCTGTGGGCACAACCAGTCAACATTAACAAAGGTTTCTTTCTAAAAAGACTCTCTATAAAGCACCTCATCATACAGTAGTAGGTTTTTATTTCTTCTTTAAACATCCAATACATCATAATTATCATGGTAGAATGCCAGTGCCCCCATGAAAATGCAACCTCCCAAATGAATGCTGTGAGATGCAGCCAGGAACAGAGCAGAGCAGGCCCAAGCTTAATAACAATTGAAAAACTTTATTAAACTACTACTACTATAAAAAGAAAGAAAAACACACACTAAATCCAAAATTAAAACCTTCCAAAACATTCTTCCTCCCCCCCAGTTCAAACAAACCACAGTGAGACACAACTTGGATCCCCAATCAGGTTCCCACCCTTCAGATAATCAATACTCAGTCCATCGAGGGAGAAAGGAGTCTCTCCTGTGCCATAGACCCCCCCAAGAAACAAAGCTGCCATCTCTTGTGTTTCCATGTCACACATGGCACCACCTGGAGAAAATCTGCCAGTGTCAAACCATGACAATAATACATCATAAATATCATATTTGCTTAATTGCCCCTCCTGACTCTACAAACTCCTTTCTAGAGCTCATCCTAGACAGCATTATCTTCCACAGCAATGGAATGTACTTGCATTAATTTAAAGCTCTTCCTTTCTGAATGCCTATGACTGTCCAGTTATATACTTAAGAGAAAACATTTACAGAAACTAATTTCAGAAAGCAATGTACATACAGGCTGATGACACTCTCAGCTCTACCCTTCTTTGACAAGAATTTAGATGAACACGCCTACATTCTTCAGATAGAAATGTGCTTTCGATTAATACTCTCAAGGACTCTCTCCTCTGCCAACAGTGCTGCTTTTTTAACTCTACACCTGCATGCACAAGACTCATCCTCTTCTCAAATCTCCCATTAGCAGCTCGTCCATAGGACATTTATGTTTTCTTTCTTATGCTTTTTTCTTACAGTTCATTATGAAATAAGCTTCTCAGTCCCACATCAAGAGTGAACATCCAGTCAAGTATTTACCCCTTAGGCTTGGTCTCAGCCACTGAAATAACACAGTTTGACAATGTTTCTGAGGTAGCCAATAATTAAGTGGATGTTACATATTATATACCAAAATAGCACTGAGTTGGGTTTTTTTTTTTTACTCACTGTCAAGTCCATACTATGATCCTCTAAAGATCTCAGCAGTTTTGCTAGTTGCTTTCCCTCATGTATTTATAATTTGGTCATGCTTTTTGTATGTGGCACATTACATTTGTTTTTACTGAATTTCACCCTGTTGACCCTCTTTGCAGTAGGTAATCAAGATCACTGAATGTCTCTCCTCTACTCCAAAAAATAATATTGCAAGCTCTCCTAATATGAGATCATCTCACCATTTCAGCACCTCACCTTCTGTTTCATCATCCAAGCCAAAAATGAAAATACTGAGCAGAACTAGGCCTAGGTGAGATTTTTGTGGGTCTTCACTTGAAATGCTTTTCCAGCCTGATGGCATACTCAAGAATTTTTCTGCAAATGCTGCTGTTCAAACAGGTGTGCATTAACCCTGACAATTTCACATACTGCATATTTTCCTTGTTAAGTCTTCTTAACAGAAAGGTATTTGGGTTGGCATCCAAGCTTTGCTAGAGTCAAATACAGCAGAACCACTGTTTGTGCTTCTTTTAATACGCAAAGCAGTGAGGTATTGAAGAGTCTTTCCACAGAGTATTCCAAGAAAAAAATCGAGGTAACTGAAAAAATGCAGGATCCATATGAGCCTGTTATGTGCAATAGCAGCAGACAAGAGACACTGGCCAGAGCCTGTTCTACCCTCCTGCAAGAGGCTCTTTTCCATTCCTGACAACACTGAATTATTATTTTACCAACATAGCTATTTCCTGATGTTTCATATAATGAAGAAGGTACAACACTAAAGCAAATCCTCATTCTGCCAATCTTAGTCTTTCAGTATTTGATACCACTAAGTTCATGTTCTTTACAATAAAAACTATCATAATTATTTTCTAATTCCTACAAGCTAGCTTTCTTTTTTAAACTACATTCAAGTTTAGTTCAGTGAGAAGTTGGGTTGCTGAAATTGGTTCTACCAGGCTTAAACTGACATTATTAGCATTTATTTCCAGAGACATAATGTCAAACAGGTGGCTATCAGATTCCAATTAAGAAGAGGAAAAAGGCATAACAATGTCCATATCGCCCATTAGCAATTAGCTAACAATTTTGTTCTGTTTTTGATTTCAGGAGTTGCTCAAGCTTAGGATAAACACAATTCCTTTGAGATAAAAAACTACTGTGTAAAGTAAATGCCTGGAAAATAGAATTTCCCTCAACAGTTTAATAATGTTTTGCAGCTTTCTAGAGGGAGCATGCATGGATATATAAATTCACATCAGACACTGTTCAGAAGCTCTTAGACACAGAATCAACAGAATTTGATGGGGAGGCAGCTGTATCTACAGGCTCTGGCTGATGAAGTCAACCAGGTTCTGCTGAGGCAATTCAGGGGTAGCACACCCCATCCTGCCCCTTGAAGAGCATTATTTGATACACAGTTGAAGGCAAAGGATTAAGTTGTAGTTTTTCAACAGCTGCATTTTACAAATAATAATATTAAAAATGAAATTAAGATCAGTATAAATTAAGATGCCATATCATTCACTGCAGCAGCAAAGGGACTAGTCTGATTTTGCTTCTACTCTCCCTCACATGAAAACAAAAGTCTCTAGCAGAGGTGTACAGCACAAAACAGCAGTATCCCTTGAACTGACAGTAACATTTTCCAGAACAATTTTTTGTGGCTATTGCCTAGCAAAATGGAGTAAAGCTCTCTATAGGCCTATACACACTGCTTTAAAATAGAACTGCCTGATCCCATGGCTCATTTGTTATATGCTAATGAGGATCCACAACAAAGACAGAGCTATTAATTTCCTCAGTGGTTTTTGTAGCTCTTCTTTGCTACTAGAGCATCTAATAGACATCCACTAATAAGTTATTCTCACAGCAGTCCTGTAAGGAGAGAAGAAATTATTTTACAGACAACTAATCGAGCCAGAGAGAAAATGTCTGCTAATTTTGGGTGCTCAACTCCAGATGTGGGATATGATTTCAGCTCATTAACATTACACAGAACATTGTATAGGCAAAGAACAGCTATCAGTTGCCTAAATGGCAGCTGCACCTGCTCAGCATGACTACAAATCACTTCTGAGCCTGTCCTGCCAAGCACATAGAAAAGAGAGAACATATTTGCCCATGAAAGTTTTCTATGAAAGTTTGGTTTAAGCAATTTGACTTTTATCACTCCTGACCTTCAGAGAGCAGAAAAACCCAGTCTGCTCTATCCTTTTGCTGTTACAGCTCATTTCTCTTGTCCCTTTCAACTTCCACAACAAATAAGCTAAAAGTACACAGTCTACAGGGTATACATTGCACAGTTTTGTTTTGAATCAAAAATAGAAACCAATCTGTAAAAAAGGAGAAACAACCATATAATTATGATTGTCTAACAGCATGTATGCTGACAGGGAGGAATGCAGAAGGTTAATCCCTATGCTAACATCTTTTTAGCTACAACTTCTTAAGTTAGGTAATGATTTTATACATGAGTTTTTTAAGTGAAACAAAAGAGAATGCAGAAACATCTATGTGCATTACCACCAATTCTCCTGCTCTCTTAGGTTCCTTTCAGCTAGCAATTACTAGTGGAAAGACTAGATTGACATTCTGCATGTAAAGGGCACACTTTGCTAGTATGTTGCAAATTGTTTCCTCACAGCAAAGGAACAGTGAGAACTGGGCAGGAAGACAGAACAGCAACAAAGAAATTAGCAAAATTACAGAAATGCATCCACATCAAAATATCAACAGATAAAAACACTCTTACAGTAAAGGCTTATGCACAGCTCCAGCTCAAGCACATTCACACCCTGTATGTGTGCCACTCATATCTGAAGAGAGTGGCATAAATTGGAATAATCTAGATAATTAAGAAGAAACAGCAAATATACTCAACTTGGAGAACAAAACCCTCTCATAATACAAGATTAATAAAATAGAGCACTTGGTTTTGATAGCTAAGTATTCTCCAGTGTAAAAGCATATTAAATAGATCACTGACCTGCAGCAGCTGAGAATACCCAGCTCATCTGATCTTTAATTAACCAGTCACTGATATTTAAGACATAAGGCAAATGAAGAACAAATGGAAGCCAGTTTGGGTAAGTGGAAAAGACCAAACTACAGAAGTTTAATGTACAGGGAAAGCTTTAGGTAAAGAGTCAAGCAGAAAACTCAGTCTTTCTTTCTACATCACCTATAAAAGGAAGGTGGCATCTTCTCATGCCCACAAAAATGCCTACCATATTTCCAGAGCAATGATGGCAAAATGAGAGGAGATGCCAGAAAGAGCCCAGTGGCAGAACTGTGCTAACACTTAAACAACATGGGGAGAAGCACCTTCTGGAAGACAATCCTTGTGTCATTGAGAATTTCTTATATTCTTCTCACATTTGTAGCAAAGTTACTACACAAAACACTGGACACATTTGATGCACATCTGAATAAAACTTACACATTTATTCTTTTAACTAAGGTGTGGCAAAGCAAAGTGTTTCACTTTCTTTAAAAGGCAAATGTCAAAACGGGTAACTAAACATAAGACAGATCAAAACCAACCAGCAATCCCATCAACTAATTAATACCTGAAAAGGCATTCATTAGCTTTGGGTTATTCAAAGTAAGTATTGCAATGCCATTGTCTTCTTTGGAAAGGTTGATGGATCCACCAGAAAACTGCTGAAGTTTCTTCTTTATGACTTCTTCCTCATAGCCATGAGCACCATTATACAGTGACAACCTCCTTTGTTGCAGTATCCTTTTCATTGTAATCTGAAGAAAGTTCTTCCACAGAGCAAGGGCCATTTCTGGAAATACATAGAATGAGGGGAAAAAATAAAATTAGGAAATTTCCTTTGGAAACCACTTCAGTCCTCTGAGAAAGGGGGAAGTATTACAGCAGAAACTAATATAAAGGTGATACAATCATAACAGTTGACAGAAATCACTGCAAACTACATTTGCAAAATTCTTGGTTTGAATCTACCTCCACGAAGTTAACAGAGGAGTTTTATGGAGTGATTTTAGTAGTTAAGCCAGGTAATAGCACCTTTTAAAATATTTCCTTGTAAATTTTACCAAAAAAGTTATTGTGTGCAGAAAACAAAAGAGGTTCAAAAACTATAGACTAAAAACTAAGACTCTTATGTATTCCACTAGGCCAATTTACTTTGTATTACTCTTCCAAACCCTCTCTTCACCCTTCCCTCTAAAAACATACCTATAATGGAGGAAAAATCCTATCAGGTCCCACAACTTTAAAGATCTGGATGTCCTGCATTTCTGTAGCAACTATTACAGCAAAACATTCCTCAGAGAAATACTTGAGGAATGTAAAAATTAAGAACTGAAGATCATTCTTACATTGAAATCTGTTCCCCGTCACCTAATTCCATTAACACAGTTGTCACACTCCATCTTAAAACTAATTGGTCTGCCTAGCCTTTGATTGCTATGTGCTTTTCCCAGTCATCTCAGTAGCACTTTGAGTTAATCTCATTTGGGCCCAGGATCTGTGCAGTGCTCCAAAGCATGAGAAGTGTGCAACAATATTACACATTGAGCGCCATACTTGCCTTTTATACAGGTAATAATACTTGTAAAGTATTTCTGTGCACCAGTATACTCATGGCTTATTCCTCTGCTATTTTCACTCTACCGTGTATGACTGTAGATCAGGAAACAAGAAGAAAGTGATTACCATACATTAATCTTGATCTGCATCTCTGCCTTAATTTATTTACTCTGGAAATGGGTCTACTAGAGAAAGCAGTTTCCAAGTGACTTGAAAGAAACTGAGTAAAACCTGAACTGAAAAGAGCTGATCTGGAAATAAAGTAATCTCAGAAATCAATCAGAATGAGAATCAAAAGAACCCCCCACAGGACATGTGAAAAAAGCCTCTTGTTATTTTGCAATTTGACAGAGTAGTCCTACCTTTGCCCCAGCCTACTTTTTAATGGCTTGGCCATTAAAGACATTCAGAAGACACTGCAGATGCTCATTTTTTTTTGTAGATGCTCATTTTTTTTTCTGAATCATAATGAAGACATGGTAGATGCTAATTTTTTTGTAGATGCTAATTTTTTTTTTTTTCTGAATCTTAATTGGCAGAAACAAGATACTTTCAAAATTGGCAAGCAGCTGTGAGAAAGTTTTTCTAAGGTGAACTCAGAACACAAACACATTCACTGAGACAGAATTTGGTGACAGCTATATTGTATGTTCTGTTCAGGGTATCTTACAGACTGAACATTTTTGAAAAGCTTTATTATTTACACATGACCAATGCACATTAAAAACCACACACAATTAGCTCCTAATGAAACAAGTGAACAACCCTGTCAGGTAAACACTTATCTTGCCACTGGCTGTACCATTCTACACTAAATTTGAAAATGCTTCTGTTGGTGCAGGTATAGTCCTCCTCATTCAAAGGCAGGAAGAGTTTGCAGAGCAACCACACTATGGTATGTGAAGCTACATGCAGCAATGCCAGTCAACTGTGAAGAGCCATCTATGCCAGTAGATTGATACATGTCCTGCCAAACTGCACCTACCAATACAAAAGGATCTCACAAGCTCAACAAGAAGAAACTAGTAAGGCCTACACAAATCTATGCATTATAAAACCATCTGCACAAGAAAACGTAAAGGGATGAGTTTTTATTATCTGTTGAGAAACATGTCTTTAATCCATCATGATGAACTTTTCCAAAGTGTAAACAAATAAAACTAATTACAAAATTTAATCAAGTTTAAAATCTAATTGAATACAAGATTACTTAATAAAAAACATTGACTGCTGCTGCACCCAAACACTCTCCATCGATGCACATTCTAATAGTCTTCAGCTACCACTTTTCAGAGCTTTTAAAATTTTATTTGAAGAGTGAAAATGGGTTTCTAAAGCTCATTTCTCCTAATTGATTCTTTTTATATTCAGTCTCTCAAGAGAGAGACAGCCTTCCCTTTTCTCTAAAACCTCAGTAGTCATTCCTCAGCATATATTAAAACAATAAAACTTTCCATCCAGCTGCTAGCTTTTGCTCAGGAGAGAACATGAAATACATGGACAGTGTAGCCTTTCCTTGTAAAGTGTACCTTGAACAACCAGCTCCCAATTTTTAATGAATACAGTGTCCCCAGTTCTCATACTAAAACAGACTAGCTGGAATTCTCTAGGAAGCCCCAGTGACTGGCTTGAAAGCAAAGAGGAGGGGGGAAAAAAGGCTGTTCTGCTAACTTAACCACTTGCTGACTTAAACTTTTTTCATTACTTTTATACACTACTGAATTTCTCATGACAAGAAATATACTGAGCAAAACAGACTTAAGATATGGAAATTTTATTCCAATGAAAAAAGAGTCTGTCATTTTCAACTGCGTGGCTATGTGCATTAACAGCTCTTTAATATTATCACTATGGTAATAAAGAACAGCAGCAAGTGCAGGATTAGAAAACAAATTGGACACCGCTGCCTGCTGATCCTGACTCATGATTAATGACTCATGCAAGGTATAATCTTTGAATTATTTTCTTTATAACAATCTCCTCCAGTGACTCTCCAGTCAGTGCCCAATACTCTTTACAATAAAAATAAGATTATTTTAACAGTTCAGTCTGACTGAGCTGACCACTCAAGAAAAGCAGGATAGGAAGAGCTAGAGCTCTCTCAGTCTAAAGGGATTTCTGCTGATATCTGACAAACAACCTCCAGAATTTCAATCAGTACAGAGCGCTCACAATTCATTGCATGACTGAGATTGATTATTTCTGTATTTTGCATGAAAGCAGTGAAAGAAAGATGTTGCAGTAATACTTAGAATGTTGTAAGACCAGCCAAGAGATATATATTAACACTAAAATTTTTGGATTTTCAGTTTAGCATAATCACATCTATTTATACATACTTACAGAAATGGAGTCTTAGTCTAATTTTAAATAGGCAACATGCTATACCCATTAGCCTCTGTAGCAAATGTAGTTTATGCACAGTTCCTAAAATGAAAAAAACCCAACCTGACAGTATAGGAATAACAGCAGTCAATTAGCATCTTTCACATGTTTTAAGTGCTACAGCTTTATATACCACTGTGACAACCAAGAGAGAAGCCAACAGTGTGGACATCAATAGTTGCTCATTCCACAGTTATTGTACCTCTTACATAAAACAACAGTTTAAATCCCATTTGACACTCAAGTGATTTTGCAACACCCTTGCCTGTGGGGTAGCAGACTGTGGGTTAATATAAACATGTGTGTGTGCCAGCACTTCTGTACAAAGGACTGACACACATTATGCAAGAGCAGCACATGTATCGACATGCAGGCACTCACAATTTATGTATTTTTGTACACGCAGATTATCAGAGGCCTTCTGACAGCCTCTGGCAACTGTCTAGGTAAAATTCAGACCTTACAATGTTAATAAAACATAGTAATAATAGAGATAACACCAACATCAATACTCCCTGAGTAGATTCTTTGGGAAATTATTAAGTCTTGAACAAGGGTATTTGCCCTTGCCATTGTCACTACTCTGTTGCAACCAAAATGTCTCGTAACACATGATGTATCAAACAGCAACCTCCAGACCTCCAGCAATGCTGCCAGTTGCAATTGTCACTGAACATTAAGATACCTGGCCAAAGTAAGAGGTAAGGGTTGTGGGTAGCAACTTTCTAGAAGAAAGGGTAGAAGAACTAAGACAAACCAGAGAAGTGAATCTTAGGAGCCTGTACGCTCAAACAAGAAACACTGCACTACACAGCAAGTTAAATCAGCAAGTTAAAATACACAAGCAAGGAAAATTTCAGTTCAGAAATGGTGCCTGAATTATTGACACAAGTCGGGGAAAAAGAAAATGGATAAAATCGATGCAGGGATGTGTTTTCAATACATCAGAGAAATAAGCATGCCCTTTCATCTGGGGCAGGATGCGACAGGTGTGATGTGCAGATATAGATACTGGAAAAAAAAAAACCATCAAATGAATTTCTGGGTTTGGATGAAGGCATACTGAGATTAAGCATAACAAATAAAAGGATTCAACAGACAAAATCCATAAAATCAATCTCAGGGAGGAGAAAATATTCAAATTGAATAAATAAAAAACAACTAGAAAGGCACTTTTGTGGCATTACCAAAGATATCAAAGGCACTTGGTCAAGAAGAACAAGAAAACCTGATTTGATGAAGACCTTTGGCAGCTGCAATTTCAGCAAATCAAGCACAGACGTGCAAAGACAAGGGAAGAAGGTTAGAAAATGTAAACTGAGGATGATGATGAGATGACTCACAATTCAACCCTGTGTGAGTGGCTTACCAGTCACTTTAAAAGGCATTCACCTGTACTAGAGAGCAGTGACCATCACTGGCAGATGCTTCACCAGGTTCCTGTAGCAGCCAATCAATGGAAAGCAAGTGGTGGCCCAGTACTGAGGGCTGGCACAAC